AAACACATGAGTACAAGTCAAATTTGAAGTCATAAGTTTCAACTACTATAATTTATTTTCGTTTACAAGTTTATATCTTGAATTCAACAGTTGAAAAATATTTATGATGATAGTGATTTAAAGCTAGAAAATAAAAAAAAATTATAATATAGCTCTTTTACAAAATGTTTCAGAAATTATTAGTTCTCAAATAAAAATAATTATTAAGTTTTAAATGTATTTTAAAAAAAATTCTTTAAAAGGACACATACAAATGAGTCATAAAGTGATCTATACGACATTTCTGTTTATTTTACTGCATTCGGTAGTATTAATAACTTTAAATTATTTTTATCTTTCAATGTTTTACAGTTTAAAGTTTTTTAAATATGGAGAGGAAAAGTTTAATGATATAGTTTAAATATAATAACTTTTAGAACAGAAAACCAAACTGAATTCTGGACAAAATGACATATTTAATGAGTTCACTAAATATTCATTACTTTGCAAAATGCATATAATATACATACTATTAGCAAACATTTTCCATTTTTCGGAAGCAATTATATTCATGTATTAATGAGTTCAAAATACTTTATGTCTTTATAGTTATTTAAAGATATTTAAGAATTATAATATTTATTGAATCACTTTGATATAAAAATAGTTTATTTTAATATTATTTTTTATTATTTAAAAATTTAAGGGTATAACAGTTCAAACATATTATGTACAGAAAAATTAAAAAACCACTTTTATATATAGATATAAATAATAATAAAAAATGGTAAAATATAAGTGAGGTCAATCCGAGTTTTTCATGCTTTTTCATAGATTTCTTTACCAAACTAGCAATAAAAAAGACACTTCATATAAATATATTTTTTAAATAAGTTATTATTTTTAAAAAGGTATATTATTTTTTATATATATTTTTTTATCTATTTTATCCTTAGATATATTGGTTAAAAAAATTAAAGTACAAATATAGAAATATAATATCTTTAAAAGAAATGGACATCAAAAGAAGATAACTCATTTATATATTGTTATAGATTAATATAAAATTAATATTTTAACATAGATGTTTATTATATATAACTAAAATTTATTATAAATTATATA